CATGAGAGAGCCCTCTGACATTCATTTTGCTGTAGCCAAACGCATTCTCAGATATCTGAATGGCAATATTCATCATGGTTTATTTTATGGAATATTGAATGAGATTAATCTGTTTGGATATTCAGACAGTGACTGGGCAAGGAGTGTTGATGACTCCAAAAGCACATCTGGTTACATTTTCTCCTTAGGCAATGGAGCTATCTCTTGGAATTCACACAGGCAAGTTGTGACTGCACAATCATTAGCTAAGGCAGAGTATATAGCAGCCATTGCTACTACTAACCAAGCTGTTTGGTTGAGGAAGATACTGAGGGACTTAACCTTTATACAAAAACCTTCTACAAGTATTTTTGTTGATAACAAGTCTACAATATCTATCACAAAAAACCCTGTGTTTCATGGTAAAACTAAACACATAAAGGTTGAGTTCCATACCATTCGAGAAGCTGAAAAAAGTGGGGAAATTGTTCTTCTCTAAATCAGTTAGCAGACATTATGACTAAGACTTTGCCTAAGTCCAGATTTGAAACTTTAAGAACTAAACTGAATGTTGTCAATGTAGACTTTAAGGAGGAGTGTTAGAGATAAAGCATGCATTGACTGAGCATGCATTTAGGTTATCTTTTGCTTTACTATGTATTGTGGTTTGTTGTACTAGTTATTAGGTGAATTATACCAGTTGTCATGAGGTGTCTTTATGCATGTTAAAGTTGATAACACTTGTCCTATTTTTGTAAACAAGTGTTAACCATATGATGCTTGTATATATTTTAAATTTGCTGACTAATGAAGCATCTTTCTCCATCTGCTATTCTGTTTTTCTTCTGCTTCTCTTCAACACAGAAACGACCATTGTTTTATCATTTTCTTTTTCTTTCATATCAGTTCTATGGGATGCCAGAAGCGATTGATAAGTTTCAAAGTTGGAGATTACTTTGGTAACTGTAAAACAGATCGTAGCTTCCGTTGGTACGCATGGGAGACTTTAATGAAATATTTTTTACAAGCAAGGAGGGTGGGAAAGACAGAAGAGAGTCAAATATGAGGGAATTTCGAGAAGTATGTGGTGACTGTGAACTAAAAGATTTGGGTTTCAGAGGATCAAAGTTTACATGGTGGAACAACCGTGAGAAGAAGCCATCATTAAATGTCGTTTGGACAGAGCATTGTGTTCGGATAGTTGGCATGAATTATTTCCAAGAGCAGCGATCTTTAATGAATCTCTTGGGGCATCTGATCACTTCGCCGAAAGACTTGATTTATTTTATCTTCAGCGTGTAGAGTGGAAAAGAAGGTTCCACTATGAAAAAGCTTGGTTATATGATGATATTGTAATAGAATGATTGTGTAAGTGTTGAGTAACAATGATGGCAGCCACAGAAGTCTGATGAAAAAATTGGGATTGGTCAAAGGTAAGCTAAGAAACAACAAATCGAATCCATTGCACAACTTATAGGCAGCAACAATGAAAAAGAAAGACGAATTGCAGGCCACTCATCAATCCGACTTTGAATTACATAAGA